TCCTAGTTAAATAAATAGATGAATAAATAAAATATATAAATAAGAACAAATAATTAATAAATACATAAATATTGATAAAAATGAAAAAAAAAAAAATGTACCGTAATTTTCGGACTATAAACCGCGCCTTTTTCCCTATTTTTCGACGCTGCGGTTTATATAACGGTGCGGCTAATCTATGGATTTTTACAGCTAACGGCCAACACCTTTAACTCTATGGGCTCTATGGCCGGTCCGCGGACCCCCACCTTTAAGCGGCGGGTTCCAGCAGGAAAAGCTGGAGGCCGGAAAAGAGTGAGACAGGTAGCGCGCAAAAGTAAAAGTGGAACCGAGAGTGGTATGCCGCTGCTGCGGCTTATATTCAGGTGCGCCTTATAGTCCGAAAATTACGGTAATTAAATAATATAATAAATAAATACAATTAATCAGATGTGTGTGTGACGACCCACCCGGACGAAGGCTGCTGTTTTTCGGGAGTGATTCCCTCTCATCACGCTGCTGGTCTCCATGGCCAGCGTGTTCACCGTCTGCAAACACAAGGTGAGCTTTAAGGAGTGTGTGTTGTGTGTGTATAAAGTATATATTAAACATATAACCCAGATTATTACTGACGTGAATGAGCTGCACCAGCACGGACTCCAGGTTACAGAACGACGCCCTGGCCTCCACACAGAAACTCAGCTGCTGCTCGAAGTCACGACCAAAAGAAACCTGGGATCCACACGGACAGAACATGTGGGGAAGGAGAGAGAAAAAAGTGCTTTTGTTACTTAGTGTAATTTACTTACAGATAGAAAGGAAGATTATTAACTTTAAAAGCCCCTATCTGGCAATGTGACGCAAAAAGAAAATGTCCTGAATGTCAAAAACGTTCTCAAAATCATGACTTCATAACACAAAATAATTAAAATGACTTAACAAATTGGTGAATTAAGATCTCACAATAAGGACTTTTCTTTGCACCAAGATGTGTATTAATCCACCGCTGAAAATAGTCCCCAACATATACAGTATTCCAGCTTGTAACCTCTCCCAAAAACGACTGTGCCAAGCTTTTATTAAAGAACAAATTAACCTTATTAAATAACTAGTTTTCTTGAGCACAAGCAAATATAAAATGTCTAACGTTTGTAGGAAAGCCTGAGCACTCTCACCATGCGGATGAAGCCGATGATGAGCAGGGACAGAGATCTCTTCTCATCCTCCAGAGTCAGAGCGCTGCAAACAGACAAAGGAGAGGACTGATGCAGAGAATTCAGGTCAACATATATTTCTTATAGTTATATTCAATACAAGCAAATGTTACGCAGAGCCTTACAACATATCCTGGGGGATTATGTCAGTAAATTAAAGTCCCCTATTAGACTGTTTTTCATCAATATGTTACATGTCTCAGATATATACAGAGCCTGTCTCTGATTGGCTGAAACACCAAACAGATCATTGCAGCATTACCCATAATCCCCTCTGTTTCCGCCTTGTTTCCAAAGTGCTGATTCTCTGTCTGTTACTTTAGATAAAAATAAGGAGCCCCTCCCCACGCCCCTCTGAGAGACATTTGGTTACAAAGAACTCAATGGTGCTCTAGGAGGAGATTAAGGTGATAAGGGGGGGGTTTATCTTGGTTGCTGATTGGCTAATGGTTACACAAGACCAAACATCGTTATGACATCACAAAGTGGCCAAAATCTGATCACAGGGTATATGCAGGAATCCTGAAGTCAAATGTAAAACCTTTTAGGACCTTTTTTAAGACCCTTTCCGTACATCTTAAGACCTCATCGCAACTTCGAGTTCTAACCGGTTACATTGGCAACACACATTTACTATATTTATTGTAAGATAGCACAACTAAATAGTTTGTGATAACTCTTTGTCATAATTCAGATAGAACAAAGCACAAGAGAATTAATTGTGTGACCAACCCAATGGATTGATTTAGGCATTGTTCCCAAGAGAAGCCTCCTCTCCACATGAACTTCAACCTCTCTGTGAAGGTCAGGTTTAATGCAATATGCTGCTTTGTTGCTTCAGTAGACTGTGCTCGTTCATTTCAGTATAACTCCTCAGAAACCAGTATTTGACCAATAAACAAAACAATTGACAAAACTTTGAACTATGAAATATATTAAACTTTGGTGAGCTTCAGCGGGGTAATGCCATATAGGAGCTCCCTCACAAATACCCAGTGGTTAAATTGGGCGGGGCTAAGCACATAGGACGATGCTCTGACGTCATCACCCTCGCACATTTGTCATATGTTTACAAAAAACAATATATATAAGACTTTTCTCGTTCTTAATATAGACTATATTTAGGGTCGATATGTGTTGACATTACTTAAAAATAGCAGATTTCTGTGACCGGATATCGTTTTTTTGCGTTAAGTTCCCATCAGCAAAAACACGTGGGTTTGTCATTGAAATCAGGACAGCAGAAAGCCTACACATCTTCCGGCGCAGACTGAAAACTCATCT